ACTAAGGTTTCGAGATGACATTACAGTACCATCAAGTGTGAGTGGAGCAAAGATTTGCATTTGTCCATGTTATCTTCTCATTGGTTGACTGCCGTGGACCAAGCGCAAACTGTATGCCCCACTGACTACTGCGACGTCTGTCAAGCTGACCCGTCGCATGCGACGGCTGCGGCGTGACCTAGTTTCTATGGACGCGCGCAACGAAGCGCACCCCTATCATGGAATTCAACTATAGTATATCTCGCGTGTTTGATTGTAATAAGGTATTCATTTCATTCGGATATATGGGTGATATTTTAGTGGTGCACAGTCGAGTAGAAAAAGAAATAAAAAGGCTACACAAACGTATACAGGACGGATCACAAATTTAAAAAAAGTTTTGATGAAAGCAATAGTAATTACTTGGACTTAGGCGTAACCATAAGAGGAAACAGAATAATCATTTCCTTAAAATTGATTCCTGCCTGTTTGTTGAAGCTCTCATATTACCTTCACAAGGGTCTAATTTATCTGATAACAATAAAGCCTCAGTCATTTATACCGAAACACCTAGGTTACCTACCACGTGTTCCACAAGAGAAATGTCTGATGTAAATGTAAAAGATATGATTGGGGTGCTTACTCCAATGGATATAGAAAAGAATACACTACTATCATATGTATAGTGAAATAAAGGATAAAAGGATAAAGTTTTGGGGCGTTAATCAATCCCGTCTGAGGGACGCACCCGCGCATTCGACTTCCATTCAGAATCGTAGTGGCGTATTGAATGCGTATATGGCCTATACAATGACATGCGGTTGCCAGCCGATGTACAAGTCAGTGCTTTTATGCTCCCAGAAGAGTCTGGTTCCTATCAACAGACCCCGGAGAGATGAAAGGCGTGGTTGTCCTAGGCGGATACCGTTCCGGGACTTGAACCCGAACCCGCGCGTGTGCGCCACTCGCCACTACACCACCTTCGCCATATATAGTGAAAAGTCTATATAAAAATAAATATATTTATAACAAATTTATACTCACAAATAACGCAAAGAAAGTACACGTCTTTTAAACCACTGAACTTAGGTAAGTTCAACAATTCAGTGTTATGTAGAATTGACATGGATTTGAGTTTAAGGGATAGCCAGGTCATCTGAATCGATTTGCTCCTTCCTAAACCTTTTTAGTATGCAGTTATCAAGACTTATTATTACTTTGTTTCTCATGTTCAAATCATATTATCTTGACACATTAACTCCAATGAATACTCCTTGAAAGTAGTGTTGGCGGTTAGGACTTCTCCCATGCACCCTAGTTTTGCTTGATCATTCTTTTTAGAGTTCTCTAGTAGTACGTTTGTGTGTATTCCTGCTCCTATTATTTACAGTATATATCTCCCTTATATTTGTTTTTCAATCTTTATCATTGCTTTTGACTAGACTACCCGAACAACACTATTTGATTAGTCATCGCTCAATCACCGAAGGGTCTCGATTGATGACTGACATTGGTTCCTATGATTCACAATCTGAACAAGCCATTTTTTCTCTTTTACAGTTATTTAGTATTTTCTCTCCATTACCTGCTCACCAGGGAAGGGATAAAAGTCGAGCTGTTCGAAATGAAATCTACACTGCAAGATTTTCTAATGCTGATCTCAAATCTGCTTTTCGAATTTGCCGAACGTTTCTATGAATGGATTTATGAGGGCTATTCGAGGTGGGCTCGAGGAGTAAGCACAAATTAGAAGTCACAAATTAATTGTTGTTCCAGGTCCCTCAGCTGTGGCTTGAAGCAGTAGTAATTCGGGTTTTGTGGGGCGGAACTTTTGCATCACATGTAATTTTTTACTTGTTGTCTAAAATTCCTTTTATTTGACTTTATTCGGGTTCGAACCTCGGATCGATATCTGCCCAGCCTTCCATCCCTCCGGGGTTAGTTAATCAGACTCGCGTAGGGATATAAAAGCACTGAATTGCATATTGGCTGGCTACCGTAATTCATTGTATAGGTCACACACGCATTGAATCCACCGCTAATCGATGCTGAGTACGAATCGAATGCGAAGGCGCATCCCTCAGACGGGCTTAATCAACGCCCAAAGATCTTTAATCTTTTATAATAACTATATACTGACACTGTAATGATCCCGGATCTTCCCACCTAGTTAAGAGCGCTTCGTGCCTAGATGTGATCATACAAGAGTATGCACACCCTCTTGAGCCTCATCTCTCTAATCTGACAATACATCGTGAACGACGAAAGCCTTGAATTATAAATTTATGGGCATGATGAGTCTCTGGACGATTTTTGTAGAAGTATCGAGGAACCCGTCCGATGGTTACCGGTTATATGCGCAAATGTGCACGAACAGTTGTGGGCTGCTAAAGGAGCTCATGCCGCTTCCAAGCTTTTTTTCTAATAATTTCTCTTTCTGTGAGCCTTTGTCGAACTGTTATGTACAGGTTTTACTGTATGATAGAACCCTATCCATCCGAAACTTGAATGCCACCGGGGTTGTACTGGAAAACGTTCGAAGTCATCGATTTTAAAACTTTAACGTCGCACTCAACCAGTTTCGATGAACTTCCCTATCATTAAAGTGAGCCAAATGTAAAAGTCCTTCTTTCTTTCGATACAACCTTGTCTGGGAATTTTCTCGACAACTTAGGCATCCACTCTAAAGAGAATTTTGAGCCTGCAATGCTGGAGCCCTATTGCGACGAAAAAGTCTCTTTCTTTCTGATCAAAACCGTCCGCTAATCCTCTCACACTCGGCTATATTGAATTGCCCTCACCTTGTGATTGGCAACTTTGCGACTTTACTTGTCACTTTAACAGTCAAAAAGTTTAAATTTAATTTATGAGCTCTGTTAAGAGGGTATTCTGGTTCCCCAGCTTACGATTAGTCAACATCGCGCCATCGGAGAATGTTCCGATGTAAAAATTGCAATTGCAGCGCAATGCAACTGCAATCATGATTGTTACCCAACAGTGATTCAAAGTTCGCTAAGAAATGATTACGTTAGGCCGAAAAATATATGAAATCATCACTTAACAAGTATCAGCCATATTTTAGACCAAACTACGTTGTGAAAAAAGAGGGAGACGGCAAAATCGAATAAAATGTCGAATGGAAAAAATTTTTTGAATTAATCAGACAATCAACATCGATCAACCAAATTTTTACCAATTTTTGAGCATTCACAAGGAAANAAAGCTGTAGCGAAAGCAGGGATATCTAAATGACGCTGTAGCGGATAACTAGCCTTCCATCCCTTTGCAACTTACTGTAGAGATACGGATGGGCCCTCGAATGCCCACTGGATTTCGCACAAATTCCATTGCATGGCATTCTGAATGTTCAAATCTGCAACGTAATGCAGCCCTTTTATAGGAAAAACTATCTAGGATGAGCTCAAATAAGATCATTGCTCCCTTACAATCTGTGCGAATAACCAGTCACCCATCCAAACTTTCAATGAACCCTTTAATTTCAATTTAACAAGGGCTAGGGCAAACAGACGGTCTACAGTAAGAATATGAATGCTCCTTTTTTGATAGAGCAGTAGATGAAAAAAAACTTTCAGCGAGTTCCAATATGACCAAATAGTACGACCAAAGAAGGTAGTGTGCTATTGGGACTTTGTTCAGAAACAACATAGCAGAATACAGAGGTAAACGTTGGCCCAAATTGTCATGTATTGTGAAAGAGGCGTAAACAAAATAAGGAAATCGATAGAATAGTAACAGTAATTTTGCAGAAAAGTGGTCGAAGGTGGGAAAAATCGAAACCACACATCGATAAGTCTATATGAAACTGAACTTACTGTGTACGAAGGATAATGAGCGTAGTAAGTATGAAAAAGCTTCTTTCAATAGAGACTGTCGTCATGTTCGCGAAGACATCAAACGAGTTATCGATCGACTAGATGAGGATGGGTCGATAGCGCTCGGATCAGTTCAATAGTAGCGAACTGAAGACGGCAAAGCAAGCGACCGCGGCGGCGCCAAAGACCTTGACCGACAAGGGTTCATGTGGAATCTTCTACAACGCCAGCCAGACAAGGCTCTCTAAGGAGCTCCGCAATTGTCTTGCTATACTTATCGAATGATAATTACTTTGAGTACGTTCAAAAGGTATGGCGTAAGGCAAAAACTTGACTTCAACCCAGGATTTTGGAGGCTGTCTTAGGCTACTTGAAATGACTTAACTTCATTTAGGTCGTTCTGATTGTAAATAATTTGTTCACCTTTGACGCGGAGGGAGTAATGGGTCCTACCTTACTCACTCTGCGTTAATAGTTCACGTCCTTACTCACTTTCCCCGAACATTAGGTAGCAGTCGATGTTGGATACGTTATGTAGTGGGTTTCCCCTCGAAACATAAAAAGTTGGTTTATAGTATTACAGACGAGAAGGCGTCTTCTGGGACCGGCAAAAAATCTCGAAGCGACCATTCCTGACCAAAGATCGAACTCTTGTGGGAGCATCAATCAAGGAGAGAGAATGCTGAATATTCGAGTACAAGAAACAAAAGGCGTTTGGGAATATATGAAGGTTACTGTAGATTGGTAATTTAGATAAATTTATGCCTAATTGGTTGCAAACAGAATTTTTTTGTTCTATCATGCTTGGAATTCCAGAACCATGGTAAATAGCACTGTGCTCATATGCAAACCGCTTCTCCCTCGAAAACATTTCTCACTGTTTTCACCACAGTTCACTGGTCTTTTGTTGTAAGGCGTACTACTGTGCTTCAATTGCAGTGCTGATATCTAAGGAGCTAATACATGCGGTAATTACCCCAGTAAAATGCGGTAATTACCCCGGTGGGTGGGAAAATTGATCAGATCCATTTACAAACTTGTTCCTTTCAATGAATTTCTGCTTGCATTTGTTGAAGTCCTCAAAGAATTCTGGCAACCAGGCACTCTAGCATAACATCCTTGTCTCAGAGCTCTTCGAGTTACCCCACTAATAGTACACTAACTTGCACTCTATTCCTGTTGGCACCCATGCGTCATTGCCCAGGAAAGTTGTACGGTGATATATGGGTGCCAACAGGAATGACGGAATTCACTCCATTCTTTATGGGCATTGCTGGAATGTGTCCATGGCATCAGTGCATGAAAGGCAGGCAGTTCATTCTTGGAGCGTTTTATGTCGTATCCTACGACGACGAAAAGTTCCAATACGTTGATATAACGACCCAGATTGGACGATTTGAAGGACAAACGTAAGCATTATAAATACCGACCCGTACCCGTTCAGGAATGAGCACGGGTCGGTATTTAAAACACCAACCTAAAGCCGAATCATTCGTGCAATTTAAAGGGCAATTGCCTATTTTTAGATTTCAACGGACCTTATAAGGGTACTATAGGCATTAACGATCCTATGCAATTTCTCAACGGTTGAACCCACTGTTTATACTGCAAAAATCAACAAAGAGTTCTTCAACAAGTCTCTCTCTGGTTTAATCGAGTGTGCACCGCCGAATGTTCCTTTCCAGCTGAAATTTGTTTTCGGAGGAAATCCCGGCAAATATTGCTACTGGTCTGTACTCAGAGTCGTTCCCTTCTTTCCGTTTTCTGCTCAAGTCATGCTTGTTTCCTCCCATATCTATTATGGCTATAAATTAAGACCAGTGTGCTCATAAAGGCAATAAATGGCAAGGTAAGTACTCGGTATGTCCGAATCATAATCGTCCAACATCGCTCTCATCTGTTCGACTAACTTTTCATAGGGTCCTTGCCCGGAATTGGGATTCAGGAGGGCTAGCGGGTTAACGAATTTGAAATCATGCTTTTCGAGACGAGCCTGACTCCCAATGACCAAGCCAAAGAAGATGGAAAGTTTGGTTGAATGGATATTGTTCCATCAGTTTATCAATGGACCTGACACAAGGTATAGGCGGTACTTGTCACCACGCCCCGTTGTCCTAGCGCAACGCTGGAATTCGCCAAGAGGACAAACTCTTTGGCGTTTATCAATCTCGTTTTCGCCCACAACTTCCATTCAGAATTGAAATAGCGTTTTGGATGCGTCTCTGCCGCATATAGTAGTGACTTGAAGTGACCACCCATGTACAAACCAGCGTTCCAATCCGCCCATATGAGCTTAGTACCGATTAATCGACCCACGAGGGATAAATGACTTGGTTTTCCTAAATTCTGATTTGGAATTCAAACCCCGAATCTTGCGTGGGTTATAGTGCGCCTTTTGCCACTACACTGAATCTGCCCGATTTCATTAATAATGTAATAATGCCGATAGTAGTGTAAATAATGTTGCCTTCGACTGCGGTGGAACGACGCACTCACAAAGCCAAACAATGTGATCCCTTCTTTACTTTCTTTTCAGTTGTCATAAACAAACCCATTAATTTTTGTTTGAAAAATCACATATCCCATAATAAAGGGAGCATGTTGCGGAGATGGAAGGAATTCAATATCAGCCAAGCTATAATAAGTCAAAGCATACTATTAATTAGTTTTAAGTAATTATTAAAGACCCTTCAGAGTTAAAAAGAAAAGCTCATTACTGATAAAGCATGTCAAGCTGTAAGATCAGCATGCCATTGCGGATGAGGTGGGCTTCGAGAAGGACATGAGAATACCCCTGACAGCGATAAACCAATCTAGAGAGTCAAAAGTGTTGGTCCAAGTAGCTACCTTAGTTTGATTTCTTTCCAAAACAATCATCTTTATAACAATTTGGTACGACGATCATCGATTTCTTTAGTACGATGATCCTTTCCCGCTCGAAGAAGGTTTGAATACGGACATAAATTTCGTATCACATGTATTATAAGTGGTTTTATATTGGCAAATGGTTTAAAACACGTGGTCCAGGACCACGAATCAAATCCCCGATTGTACCAGCCTCAGTATCGTTTGGGAGGATCAAAGCGCTGATCTGTACATTGGCTGGGCAGCGCTCGTCTTTGTAAAGGCCATCTATGTATACAGGCAAAACGCCACTTTGACTATGGATGAAAGTTGAAAATGGGGGTCGAATATCAGAACGGCACTGATCAACGCCGGAATACTTTATTCTTCTATTGTACCAGTCGGTCCGGCTAACCCCTTTCCTCCTTTGGCTCGTTATCAGGCCTACCAGTTCTTAACAATCCTTATCACCAATCGTGTACACCTTCATATTCCAACCACTTACTAAAATGCCGAGGCTTCACCGTCAACACGAAGAAAGCACTGTATCTTACTGCTCTCGTCTTTTAAGGCTCCTACTCAGCTCCTATCGTTATCACTGTCTACCGCCTACTATCGGTGTCCCCGTCCTGCCACTTGTATCCCCTTCAAAAGGTAAAACGCTTCACATATGTTTAGGGGAACATGAGTTATGAGTTTCCGGTTAAACACACACA